GAGCTGGTGAGTAAGTGAGTGAGTTGGTGAGTGAGCTGGTGAGTGAGTGAGCTGGTGAGTGAGCTGGTGAGTGAGCTGGTGAGTGAGTGGGTGAGTGAGTTGGTGAGTGAGCTGGTGAGTAAGTGAGTGAGTTGGTGAGTGAGCTGGTGAGTGAGTGAGCTGGTGAGTGAGCTGGTGAGTAAGTGAGTGAGTTGGTGAGTGAGCTGGTGAGTGGGTGAGCTGGTGAGTGAGCTGGTGAGTGAGTGAGTGGGTGACTGAGTTGGTGAGTGAGTGGATGAGTGAGTGAGCTGGTGAGTGAGCTGGTGAGTGAGCTGGTGAGTGAGTGAGCTGGTGAGTAAGTGAGTGAGTAAGTGAGTGAGTTGGTGAGTGAGCTGGTGAGTGAGTGAGCTGGTGAGTGAGCTGGTGAGTGAGCTGGTGAGTGGGTGAGTGAGTGAGCTGGTGAGTGAGCTGGTAAGTGAGTGGTGGACTAGGTGAGTGAGTGAGTGGGTGAGTGAGCTGGTGAGTGACGCTCACCCGTAGAAGTGTCCGCGGATGAACTCGTTGATGCGAGCTTTGCTCTGGGCGTGCAGATTCTGGAACTCGTGCATGGCCGAGAACCGCTTGAGGTTGAGGCCGTTGGGGGTGATGATGTCTGGGGGGACAGGCGGGGGGGGAGGGGTGGGGGGGAGGGGCGGGGGGGGGTAAGGGAGGGGGCGGTGACTCTCACGGTCAAGGCCAGTCCACCAAATCGACAGCGAAGTCATCGCCGGCATTGAGGTCTCATTTCTGTCGGAGTGATTTGAGCGTTTCGCGTCATTGTCCTTCCCCCATCCCCCCCCAGCGTTGCCGGCTACTTACAGCGGTGACACAGAAGTTCAGAGCGAGACTCAGAGTGAGACTCTGGGTCAGAGTGAGACTCAGGGAGACCGGGTCTCAGGGTCAGAGTGAGACTCAGGGTCAGAGTGAGACTCAGGGAGACCGGGTCTCAGGGTCAGAGTGAGACTCAGGGAGACCGGGTCTCTGGGTCAGAGTGAGACTCAGGGAGACCGGGTCTCTGGGTCAGAGAGAGACTCAGGGAGACCGGGTCTCAGGGTCAGAGTGAGACTCAGGGAGACCGGGTCTCTGGGTCAGAGAGAGACTCAGGGAGACCAGGTCTCAGGGTCAGAGTGAGACTCAGGGAGACCGGGTCTCTGGGTCAGAGAGAGACTCAGGGAAACCGGGTCTCAGGGTCAGAGTGAGACTCAGGGAGACCGGGTCTCTGGGTCAGAGAGAGACTCAGGGAGACCGGGTCTCTGGGTCAGAGTGAGACTCAGGGAGACCGGGTCTCTGGGTCAGAGAGAGACTCAGAGAGACCGGGTCTCAGGGTCAGAGTGAGACTCAGGGAGACCGGGTCTCTGGGTCAGAGAGAGACTCAGGGAGACCGGGTCTCTGGGTCAGAGTGAGACTCAGGGAAACCGGGTCTCAGGGTCAGAGACTCAGGGAGACCGGGTCTCAGGGTCAGAGTGAGACTCAGGGAGACCGGGTCTCAGGGTCAGAGTGAGACTCAGGGAGACCGGGTCTCTGGGTCAGAGTGAGACTCAGGGAGACCGGGTCTCTGGGTCAGAGTGAGACTCAGAGAGACCGGGTCTCTGGGTCAGAGACTCAGGGAGACCGGGTCTCAGGGTCAGAGTGAGACTCAGGGAGACCGGGTCTCAGGGTCAGAGACCGGGTCTCTGGGTCAGAGTGAGACTCAGGGAGACCGGGTCTCTGAGTCAGAGTGAGACTCAGGGAGACTGGGTCTCTGGGTCAGAGTGAGACTCAGGGAGACCGGGTCTCTGGGTCAGAGTGAGACTCAGGGAGACAGGGTCTCTGGGTCAGAGTGAGACTCAGGGAGACAGGGTCTCTGGGTCAGAGTGAGACTCAGGGAGACCGGGTCTCTGGGTCTCCCCGAGTCGTCTTACTCTGTCCCAGAGGCCCGGTCCACCCACCTCCGCCCCACCACCCACCCACCCACCACCCACCCACCCACCCACCCCACCACCCACCCACCACCCACCTACCCACCACCCACCCACCTACCCACCACCCACCCACCACCCACCCACCCACCCACCACCCACCCACCCACTCACCACCCACCACCCACCGGGTTTCCTCTTGAGCAGGTGTTGTGCCTCGACCCCCGTGATCTGCGACACGGTGGTGAAGGTGTGTGCACAGTGCATGGCCGCCACCTACCCACCCACCCCACCACCCCACCACCACCCACCCCACCACCACCACCCAGCCACCCACCACCCACCCCACCACCTACCCACCCACCACCCACCCACCCCACCACCCACGCACTCCACCACCCACCCATCCACCCGCCACCCACCCACCCCACCACCCACGCACTCCACCACCCACCCACCCACCACCCACCCACCCACCCACCCACCCACCCACCCACCCACACCACCTACCCACCCACACCACCCCACCACCCACCCCACCACCCCACCCACCCACCCACCACCCACCCACCCACCCCACCACCACCCACCACCCACCGGGTTTCCTCTTGAGCAGGTGCTGTGCCTCGACCCCCGTGATCTGCGACACGGTGGTGAAGGTGTGTGCACAGTGCATGGCGGCGCGCTCCATGCAGTAGCGGTGGTAGATCTGGCGGTCGCCAGCCTCCTTGTCCACGTCGAACTGGCGCACGCGCAGACGCCACGCACACAGACATAGATACATACGTAGATACATACAGATACACACACACACACACAGATACACACAGATACACACAGACACACACGTATGTGTGTGTGAGTGAGTGAGTGTGTGAGTGCGTGTGTGTGAGTATGTGTGTGAGTGTGTGTGTGAGTGTGTGTGTGAGTGTGTGTGAGTGTGTCTCTGTGTGTGTGTGAGTGTGTGTGTGAGTGTGTGTGTGAGTGTGTCTCTGTGTGTGTGTGAGTGAGTGTGAGTGTGTGTGTGTCTATGTGTCTCTGTGTGTGTGAGTGTGTGTGTGAGTGTGTGTGTCTCTGTGTGTGTGTCTCTCTGTGTGTCTCCGCACTTTGGCGAGATTGTTGTAGAAGTCTACGTGTCCGGCACACAGGTATCTCCCCAGCAGCGTGGCGTGGTGAGTGTGTGTGAGCGTGTGTGAGTGTGTGTGTGAGTGTGTGTGAGTGTGTGTGTAAGTGTGTGTGAGTGTGTGTGAGTGTGTGTGTGAGTGTGTGTGTGAGTGTGTGTGAGTGTGTGTGTGAGTGTGTGTGAGTGTGTGTGAGTGTGTGTGAGTGTGAGTTTGTGTGAGTGTGTGTGTGTCTCTGTGTGTCTGTATGTGTGTGTGTACTTTGGCGAGGTTGTTGTAGAAGTCTACGTGTCCGGCACACAGGTATCTCCCCAGCAGCGTGGCGTGGGTGGTGAAGATGGTGGCCACGGGCAGGTGGCGCACGCGGCACAGCACGAGGCCCACGCCCGCCAGCCACTCGTGGAAGTGCGCCACGATGGACGGCTTCTCCTCGCACTGCGCGTAGAACTGGCAAACGCGGCGGGAGACGCGGGGGGAGACACGCAGAGAGACACACAGAGACAAGCGGTTATATACGTCGAGACAGAGAGACACACAGAGAGACAGAGGCACACACACAGACAGAGAGAGACACAGAGAGACACAGAGAGACACACAGAGACAGAGAGACACAGAGAGACAGAGGCACACAGAGAGACAGAGACACACAGAGAGACAGAGAGAGACAGAGAGGTACACAGAGACACACAGAGACACAGAGAGACACACAGAGAGACAGAGAGACACAGAGAGACACACAGAGACACACAGAGACACACAGAGACACCTAGACACACAGAGAGAGACAGAGAGACACACAGAGACAGAGATGAGATGTTGACTACCTCGGCTGGTCTACAGGAGGTCGTGGGTCTCTCTCTCCCCGTGATGAGATGTTGACTACCTCGCCTGGTCTACAGGAGGTCGTGGGTTTCTCTCTCTCTCACCTCCCCAAGGATCCGGGCGGTGACGTTTAACTACATACCTCACGACCACCATCACCACCAAGCTCACCACCACCACCATCACCACCATCACCACCATCACCACCAAGCTCACCACCATCACCACCATCACCACCTCACCACCACCACCACCGCCTCACCACCACCCACCACCACCACCACCTCACCACCACCACCGCCTCACCACCACCTCACCACCACCACCACCTCACCACCACCACCTCACCACCACCACCGCCTCACCACCACCTGACCACCACCTCACCACCACCACCACCACCTCACCACCACCACCACCACCTCACCACCATCACCACCACCACCGCCACCATCACCACCATCACCACCACCTCACCACCACCTCACCACCACCACCTCACCACCACCACCACCGCCTCACCACCACCACCACCGCCTCACCACCACCACCACCACCACCCCCACCACCACCACCACCATCTCACCACCACCTCACCACCACCACCACCTCACCACCACCACCTCCTCACCACCACCACCACCTCACCACCACCACCACCATCACCACCACCACCTCACCACCACCACCACCAAGCTCACCCCCACCACCACCACCACCATCTCACCACCACCTCACCACCACCACCTCCTCACCACCACCACCTCACCACCACCACCACCATCACCACCACCACCTCACCACCACCACCACCAAGGTCACCACCACAACCACCACCACCATCACCACCACCAACTCACCACCACCACCACCAAGCTCACCACCACCACCACCAAGCTCACCACCACCACCTCACCACCACCATCACCACCACCACCACCACCGCCTCACCACCATCACCACCACCACCTCACCACCACCACCACCACCTCACCACCATCTCACCACCACCACCACCTCACCACCACCACCTCCTCACCACCACCACCTCACCACCACCACCACCATCACCACCACCACCACCTCACCACCACCACCACCAAGCTCACCACCACCACCGCCTCACCACCACCACCACCACCTCACCACCACCACCACCATCACCACCACCACCACCACCGCCTCACCTCGCCGAGGAACCAGGCGGTGAGGAACCCGAAGAGGACTGCGTCGTTGGACTCGCGGTCGAACCAGGGCACGCCGATGCCGCACGCCTCCCACAGCTCCGACTTCCAGCGGTCCAGACTCCAGGCGGCAGACGCCACGTCGAACAGCACCACCAGGGGGCTGCCCTCGATCAGCCAGCGGCCACAGTACACCTGGGGGAGGGGGGGGGAGAGGGGGGAGAGGGGAGAGGGGGGGGAGAGGGGGGGGAGGGGGGGAGAGGGGGGAAAGGGGAGAGGGGGGGGAGGGGGGGGAGAGGGGGGTGAGGGGGGTAAGGGGGGTAAGGGGGGGGAGGGGGGAGAGGGGGGGGAGGGGGAGAGAGGGGGGAAAGGGGAGAGGGGGGGAGAGGGGGGGAGGGGGGGAGAGGGGGGTGAGGGGGGTAAGGGGGGGTAGGGGGGGGAGAGGGGGGAGAGGGGGGAGAGGGGGAGAGGGGGGAGAGGGGGGGAGGGGGGGAGAGGGGGGGGAGGGGGAGAGGGGGGGAGGGGGAGAGAGAGGGGGGGGAGAGAGGGGGAGAGGGGGGGAGGGGGAGAGAGAGGGGGAGGGGGGGAAAGGGGGGAGAGGGGGGGAGAGGGAGGAGAGGGGGGAGAGGGGGGCGAGAGGGGGGGAGAGGGGGGGGAGAGGGGGAGAGGGGGAGGGGGGGAGAGGGGGGAGAGGGGGGGAGGGGGGAGAGGGGGGGAGAGAGAGGGGGGAGAGGGGGGGGGAGAGAGAGGGGAGGAGGGGAGGGGGGTAGAGGGGGGGAGGGGGGGGAGGGGGGGGGGAGAGGGGGGGAGGGGAAGGGGAGGGGGGTAGAGAAAGGGGGAAAGGGGGAGAGGGGAGGGAGAGAGGGGGGGAGGGGAAGGGGAGGGGGGTAGAGGGGGGGAGAGAAAGGGGGAAAGGGGGAGAGGGGAGGGAGAGAGGGGGAGGGGGCGAGAGAGGGGGGAGAGGGGTGGAGAGGGAGGGGGGGAGAGAAGGGGAAGGGGGAGAGGGGGGAGAGGGGGGGGAGAGGGGGGGAGAGGGGGGGGAGAGATGGGGGTTAGAGCGAGTGAGTAAGTGAAACAGCGAGTGCGTAAGCGAGCGATGGAGTGAGAGTGAGTGAGTAAGTGAGTGAGAGAGTGAGAGAGTGAGAGAGTGAGTGAGCGAGCGAGTGAGAGAGTGAGAGAGAGAGAGTGATGTGAGCGAGCGAGTGAGTGAGTGAGAGAGTGAGTGAGCGAGCGAGTGAGAGAGTGAGTGAGCGAGCGAGTGAGAGAGAGAGTGAGTGAGCGAGCGAGTTCGTGAGCGAGTGAGTTCGTGAGCGAGCGAGTTCGTTCGGGAGTTCGTGAGCGAGTTCGTGAGCAAGCGAGTTCGTGAGTGAGTTCGTGAGTGAGCGAGTTCGTGAGCGAGCGAGTTCGTGAGCGAGTGAGTTCGTGAGCGAGCGAGTTCGTGAGCGAGTTCGTGAGCGAGCGAGTTCGTGAGTGAGTTTGTGAGTGAGCGAGTTCGTGAGAGAGTTCGTGAGTGAGTTCGTGAGCGAGCGAGTTCGTGAGCGAGCGAGCGAGTTCGTGAGTGAGTTCGTGAGCGAGTTCGTGAGAGAGTTCGTGAGCGAGTGAGTGAGTTCGTGAGCGAGCGAGTTCGTGAGCGAGCGAGTTCGTGAGCGAGTTCGTGAGTTCGTGAGCGAGTTCATGAGCAAGTTCGTTCATGAGCGAGCGAGTTCGTTCGTGAGCGAGCGAGCGAGTTCATGAGCGAGTTCGTGAACGAGCAAGTCAGTGATTGAGTGAGTGAGCGAGTTTGTTTGTTCGTTCATGAGCGAGCGAGTTCGTGAGCGAGTTCGTGAGCGAGCAAGTGAGTGATTGAGTGAGTGAGCGAGCGAGTTCGTGAGCGAGCGAGTGAGTTCGTGAGCGAGCGAGTTCGTGAGCGAGTGAGCGAGTAAATGAGAGAGTTCGTTCATGATTGAGCGAGCGAGTTCGTGAGCGAGTCCGTGATTGATTTCGCGAGTAAGTTCGTGAGTTCGTGAGTTCGCGGCTCTACCCGACTCCCCCTCACCTTGACCCCCTTGGCGTTCATGGAGTTGATGGTGCGCTTGAGCGCCGGGTTGCTGGGCTCCATGAGCTCCACCTGTGTGCGCACGTTCTGCTCGTAGTAGGGGCCCAGCAGCACGTAGTTCTCACCCCACTCGTCCGCCGTCACCTTCGCCTTGGTCTGGATCACCGTGTAGATGCCCCCCACTGCGCAGACACGCAGAGGCGCGAGTGGGTGGGGGTGGGGGGTGGGGGTGGGGGGGTTGGGGGGGAGGCGTCATCACCGTCGCCCCCGGTTACGCGGAGGTGTAGTGTATAGTGTATAGTAGTGTAGTGTATAGTGTAGTGTATAGTGTAGAGTGTAGTGTATAGTAGTGTATAGTGTAGTGTATAGTGTAGTGTATAGTAGTGTAGTGTACAGTGTGTAGTGTATAGTGTAGTGTATAGTGTAGTGTATAGTAGTGTATAGTGTAGTGTATAGTGTAGTGTATAGTAGTGTAGTGTATAGTAGTGTAGTGTATAGTAGTGTAGTGTATAGTAGTGTAGTGTATAGTGTAGTGTAGTGTATAGCAATGTAGTGTATAGCAGTGTAGTGTATAGTGTAGTAGTGTATAGTGTAGTGTATAGTGTAGTGTATAGTAGTATAGTGTATAGGAGTGTGTAGTGTGTTTAACATGTAGCCTTTCGCCACCACTATTATTCATAATCAACGTTGTTGGGTTTAGATCGCCGCGTTATGTATAAATGTGTCGTGACCCTCCACTACCCGACACGGCCAATCAGCAAAAAAGTGTCACGTTGACAAAAGACAAATATGATTATTGGTTTTTTACCCTTCTATCTGGCAACAAAACTGCATTATGACTGCAGGTATTGTGGTCTATGCAAACACGACTCCTTGTAAAAAAGGTGTCAGTTTTGTTGCCAGATAGAAGGGTAAAAAAACTATTATCATATTTTTTTACTGGGAAATGAGGTTCCAATGTTGTAAAAGACAAATAGTTCACTGCTGTAGCCCACCGGTGTGTTGAAGCGTGAAACCACCACATTTACACATTTGTTTTGAGTAGCACGACGTTTCGCTGGTAATTGCATCCAGCATCATCGGGCAATTCGCCAGAATGGTGATAGTGTAGTGAACCATTCTGGAGCCCCAATGCGGTTTCAGGAAAGGGCGGTCCTGCACAGATGCCATAGTTTGTGTCCGTCTGCTCCAGCAGAGGTGTAGGGAATTCCAACAAGACCTACATCTCTGCTTTATTGACCTGGTCAAGGCCTATGATACCATCAGTAGGCCTGGGCTCTGGGTAGTTCTTCGTGCTTTCGGAGTCCCTGACCCTCTGCTCACCATCATGAAGGACCTTCATGATGGTGAGCGGGCCCGGGTGAAACTACGTGGCCGGGAGTCAGAGCCATTCTCTGTTCACCTTGGGGTGTGTGTGTCTGTGTGTGTCACACACACACAGACATTCACACACACTCACACACAGACACACTCACACATAGACACACAGACACACACTCACACATAGACACACAGACACACACTCACACATAGACACACAGACACACACTCACACATAGACACACAGACACACACTCACACACAGACACTCACACACAGAGACACACACAGACACATACACACTCACACACACTCACACACACAGAGACACACACACAGACACACACACAGACACATACACTCACACACACAGACACTCACACACACAGACACTCACACACAGACACTCACACACACACTCACACACAGAGACACACACACACAGACACTCACACACACACTCACACACAGAGACACACACACTCACACACAGACACACACACAGACACACAGATACACACAGCGACACACACACACACACTCACACACACACAGACACATACACTCACACACACTCACACACACATAGACACACACACAGACACATACACACACTGACACACACAGACACACTCACAGACACTCACACACACAGACACACACACTTACACACACACAGACACACATGGTGACCTTATGAAAACGGCGCGTCTCGAGTTTCTAGAATCTAGAGGTAAAAATAAACCCTCTGAAGTCAGAGGTTAAAACCCTCTGACCTGGCAAGTCAGGGGCGGGTGCGCCGTTGTTTTATTATGAATGAGACGGGGTCACACGAGTCCAAGGGTAGCCCCTCCCCCGTCTCGTAGCCCCTCCCACAACTGCTGTGCCCAATCAGCGACGACCAAGGCCCACCCACCCACTCCAGCCGCAGCCCCTCCCCCGTCTGGCAGCCCCTCCCACAGCTGCCGTGTCCAATCAGCGAGAACCATGCCCCCCCCTCCCGTTACACACCTAGGAAATTGTAGCCCCCCCCCCACCACCGTAGCCCCGCCTACAACTGCGAGGCCCAATCAACGTGGACCATAGCCGCGCCCTCTCCTGTAACCCCCCACCCATGACATCATAGCCCCTCCCCCCACCGTAGCCCCGCCTACAACTGCGAAGACCAATCCGCGTGGACCATGGCCCCGCCCACGACAGTGTAGCCACGCCCTTTGCCCGTAAGCCCCGCCCTCAACCCCCCCAAGCCTCAGCCAATCAGAGAGCAGCTTCGTCGCGTACGTGTCCGATACCACGCGCGGGGGTCTCAGACATAAGTTGCGGGCGGTCTCTGCGATCACGCGGGGTCGGTGTTTTCAATATCATAATCGTTTCGACTGCAGGGAGGAAACTGGGCTAACCCCTAGGTCGACTCAGCCTCAAATGTGTAGCGGTGTCGCAGCAGCAGCAGTCATCTAGGGGAGACAAAGGCGGCCGGGCATGGTGCTGGCCACCCACCCCACTCTGCCACAGTGCCGCTGCTAAGAGCAACTTGCCCCTACAGTCTGCTCGAGGCTACACGGGGGAGCTTTGTCTTTGTAATCATTATTTGACGTCTCTCGTGGCAACGATTCGCCTCAACTCTCTGTGTGACGTCATCCGGTGGCCGTCACAGACGGTGGCAGTGACATCGTCGTTGCCACGTGCACATTCACAGCAGCAGCAGCTTGAGACTCTACACGCGTGTTCATCAACAGACTCACAGAGACCCACACTCATAGATACCCACACTCACAGAGACCCACAGAGACTCACATTCATAGAGACCCACACTCAGAGACCCATAGAGACCCACACTCATAGAGACTCACAGAGACCCATAGAGACCCATACTCATAGAGACCCACATTCATAGAGACCCATACTCACAGAGACCCATACTCACAGAGACCCACACTCATAGAGACCCACAGAGACCCACACTCATAGAGACCCACATTCATAGAGACCCACACTCATAGATACTCACAGAGACCCACATTCACAGAGACCCACACTCATAGATACCCACACTCACAGAGACCCACAGAGACCCATACTCACACAGACCCACACTCATAGAGACCCACACTCAGAGACCCATAATCGCAGAGACCCACACTCATAAAGACCCACAGAGACCCATACAGAGACCCACAGAGACCCATACTCACAGAGACCCACACTCACAGAGACCCACACTCATAGAGACCCATACTCACAGAGACCCACACTCATAGAGATCCATAGAGACCCACACTCATAGAGATCCATAGAGACCCACACTCAGAGACCCACAGAGACCCACACTCATATAGACCCACAGAGAGACCCACACTCACAGAGACCCACAGAGACCCACACTCACAGAGACCCACAGAGACCCACACTCACAGAGACCCACAGAGACCCACACTCAGAGACCCACAGAGACCCACACTCACAAAGACCCACAGAGACCCATACTCACAGAGACCCACAGAGACCCACACTCATAGAGACCCACAGAGACCCACATTCATAGAGACCCACAGAGACCCACACTCACAGAGACCCACAGAGACCCATACTCACAGAGACCCACACTCATAGAGACCCATAGAGACCCATACTCACAGAGACCCACAGAGACCCATACTCACAGAGACCCATACTCAGAGAGACCCACACTCACAGAGACCCATACTCAGAGACCCATACTCATAGAGACCCACACTCAGAGACTCGTACTCATAGAGACCCACACTCATAGAGACCCACAGAGACCCACACTCAGAGAGACCCACACTCACAGAGACCCACACTCACAGAGACCCATACTCATAGAGACCCATACTCACAGAGACCCATACTCACAGAGACCCAACAGAGACCCACACTCATAGAGACCCACACTCACAGAGACCCATACTCATAGAGACCCATACTCACAGAGACCCATACTCACAGAGACCCAACAGAGACCCACACTCATAGAGACCCACACTCATAGAGACCCATACTCATAGAGACCCATACTCATAGAGACCCACACTCACAGAGACCCACACTCACAGAGACCCATACTCATAGAGACCCATACTCATAGAGACCCACACTCATAGACACCCACACTCATAGAGAATCGTACTCACAGAGACCCATGCTAAACATGATATTGGCTCAACCAAGTCGCCAATATCATCACCATCATCATCACGTGGATATTTATAGCAGCAGACGTCATCTAAGCCGTGTTCCCACAGACTCACAGACTCGCACAGAGACCCATTGACCCACATTGAGATCCAGAGACTCATAGACCCACAGAGACTCATAGAGATCCAACGAGCGCCATAGAGACCGATACTCAGAGACCCATATTCATAGAGACTCCTACTCAGAGAGACCCATACTCCTAGAGACCCACACTCATAGAGACCCACAGAGACCCACATTCATAGAGACCCATACTCATAGAGACCCATACTCACAGCGACCAACAGAGACCCATACTCATAGAGACCCATACTCATAGATACCCATACTCATAGAGATCCATACTCATAGAGACCCATACTCCGAGAGACCCATATTCATAGAGACCCATACGCATAGAGACCCATACTCACAGAGACCCACAGAGACCCATACTCATAGAGACCCATACTCCTAGAGACCCATATTCATAGAGACTCCTACTCAGAGAGACCCATACTCTAGAGAGACCCATACTCTAGGAGTATGGGTCTCTCTGAGTAGGAGTCTCACTACACCACTAGCTACGCTCCAGATGGACAACGGGCCACGTGGCGGAGGAGCCAGCGGATGTCTGGCGCTTCAGAACGAGCCTCCCACTCGTCGT